TAAAATTTCAGGTTCTATTCGCATATTTATTCTTCTAGCAATTTAATTAAGCAACCACAAGGTGTCAATGGCAGAAAGTACAACCTCTTACAGAGTTACACCAGTAGCCCACCCTGAATTCTTGTTCAGTTAGATGAGTAATAGCTTCTAGTAGCAGGCCCTTGGTAGAAAAGTCCTACGTACCCACGTTTGGATTCCATCATAGTAATCTGATCAACTTAAATATCTTATTATTATTATTATTATTATTTATTATTGTTTTGGTGTTAGTTTTTTTATTGTTTGGAGGTGAGGAGTTAAGTTCATGCACTTAAATAAGATATGTTCAACCATTTATGAGAATAAAAGCTAAAAGTTGTGTATAAAATAAACATGTAGGCTAGCAACATCTTTTGGCGTTTTTTTTTTCCTTTTTTTATTTGTTGGTATTCAAAACCCATGTACACCTGTACAGTATATAACCATGTAACTTCAATTTCTTTATTCGTTCATTGTTTTGTTGGATTGTTGGATGAATCTCTACGTGTGTATGTCGAGAACATTATGTATTAGAGTATGATAATCAAGGGTCATTGTACTACTCTCTGCCTCTTATTGATGTATAAGAGTTCTTACAAGTTATCTCGGTATTTGTTCACTTTTATGGAGTAAAAATTTTCATTAAACATAATCTATTACAAATTTAAGATATATAAATTTAATATAGTGACTCAATAAATCAATGATAAACCCTAGATTTTGATATAGAAAGTCGATGGCTGGAAAAGAAATTACCTTGCAAGCTGCTTCAATGGAGGGGAAACCTTAGAAGTTGCCAAAATGGAAGATCAGAGAAAGCTCGAAAGTGAAAAAAAGTAGTTGAACACATTGTTTTCTCTCCAATTCTTGTGTTAGCACAACTTTGATTAGGAATGTTTGTGTAGAAATGAGTTGTTATGTTGCTTGAAAAGGTTCTGCATTCCCCTGTAAGAGTTATAGGATATAGGTACTTAATAACTATTTTTTGAGAATAAATTGATCTAATCAAAACACGAAATACAAAAACATTTTCACATGTGAAGAGATTTGTAACTAATTGGGGGTTTGATGAAAGCATATTGTGAAAGTAAAGAAAGTTAAAGAAGACATGTAGTTGCAAAATTGTTACTTTTTCTCAATAACAAGTAGAGAAAGGAGATGAAAACTTAAACAAAAATTAAGGGTAGGAGTAAGGGACATCCAAAAACTCATTGAGAAAGTAGAACTGTAGATGAGAGGGTAAAGGTGAAAACACCCCCAAAAAAACCATTGAAAAGGGTAGAGAAAGAAGAGAGAGAGTGAGAGAGACCTATAAGTTATGAAGCCATTTAAAAGGAGCAAAAAGGAAAGAGAGAGAGTGAGTTTTGGGAATTAAAGGAAAGAAAAAGAATATTTTTTAGAGTGTAATTGAGTAAGGAGATAGAAATGCTTTTTAGAAACTTTTTAAAATGGTCAAAATTATAAAAGACAAGTAAAATAACGAGAAAGCTAAAGGAAGGAAAAATAAAAGAGATAGCAAGTTAGGGGGGTAGATTTCGACAACTAGATTTAGACAAGCTTATTTTAATAATCAATAAATGTAATTAATTAAACAGCGTGATTTTATGACAATTGAGGCATCTAACTAATTAAAATCACCTTTAGAATAAACTTTTCAAAATTATGATAAAATCGTGTTAGATTCATGAGTAATGTTTTTTTTATGTTTGAACAACCATAGTTATAGATAATAACTTTATAAAGATAGAGGGTAGGATAGAGGAAGGGGGAGAAGGAGTGGGAGAGAGGAGAGAAGAGACATAGAAAGGAAGAAATAGAGGAGAGGGAGAGAAAAAAAAAGAGGGGGGTAGGAAAGGATGAGAGGGGTCGAGAGAAAAAGATAGAGGGAGCCAGGAATGAAAAAGGGCTAGAAGAGAGAGAGAGAGAGAGAGAGAGAGAGAGAGAAGGGTCGAGAGAGAAAAAGAGGCCAGGAGAAAAAGAAAGAATGGATAGATAGAGAAGGCAATGCCGAGAGAAAGAGGGAGAGAAAGAAGGGGGGTTGAGAGATAAAGGTGCTAGAGAAGGCAAGGTCGCGAGAGGGGGAAAAGGGGCTAAGAGAGAAAGGTGCTATGAAAGAGAGAAAAGGTAGGATAAAAGAGAAAGAGAAAAGGCAGGCCATGAGCTAAGAGTAAAAAGCATGTCGGGGGATAGATAGAGAAGGGCTGGGAGAGATAAGCCAAGAGATGGGAAAGGGGATCTGGGAGAAGAGAGAGAGAAAATAAAGTGAGATAGAGATAGAACGAGGGCCAAGAGAGATAGAGGAGGTCGAAAGATCGAACAAAGTTAGAGCGCTAAATACAGATAGGGTGATGGGAAAGAGAGTGTGTGTGTGTGTGAGAGAGAGAGGCTAGAAGAAAGAGGGAGATGAAGAGAAGCTGAGAGAGATAGAGGGCTTAGGGGAGAGAGAAAGAAAGATAGATGTTAGGGGGAAGGGGGAGCGAGAAAGTATTATTATTGAGGCTATGGGGGAGATAAGACTAATACCTTAAATTAGAAACTCAGTTTCTATCTCAATACTGAATATATGCATTTGGTTATTTGTCCTTTTTTTCCCCATAATTTCATGAAATTAGGGTAGTAGTTGGTATTATGATGATTTGTTAAAATTGATTTGTTGTTTGGATAAATTTGTATAATTTGTGTCATTGGATATTAATTAATGACACTAGAAAACTTTTTCGTACCAAACATATATAATCCATTCGGTATAATTCATCATGAATGTTGTTTTGGGTATTTTTACCCAGGACGGTCTAATGGGAAGGTGACACGTGCCACTTCAGGAGAGGTTCCCAGAGAACCAATCCCCTGCTGACACGTGGCATCTCTAATGATTGGGAAAAATGGCGGTCTTTCTGACCCAATTCCCAAGGAAGCCCACCATTCCTAGGTTTCCGTAACCTAGGATAGCGGCACGTATTTCGAGACCCTATAAATAGGGAGATGTTCCCATCATGGGACATATTCAGAAATATTCACAAAAAACTGAGCAATCATTAATTGCAAATATTCTCTCGGAATCTGAGAAGATACTTTACTTTCCGTACTTTTTACAGACTCCATACGCGTTCTAATTTGATCGTCGGAGGCGGAACTCCACCCAACCGGAGTTTCCGTTGTTTTGTAGGTACAGGCGCGTGGATCCAATCTTGGTGTTGTAACTCTCCCGCAAGACATCCAAAAAACCCCGAAACAAATGTCATTACAAAATAAGTTAGAGATAAATAATTCGGGAGCACGTGCTAGGTATTATAAAGTAACTAAATAAGTTAGAGAAAATAAAAAAAAAGGGGGAAAATTGGTTAAAAATATTAAAATAATAAGATTACAATTTTCTATCAGAAACTCTGGTCTTTGACGTCATTTATGACATTTTCTGCACCAAACTTAATAGTTTATAATGTAGTGTGCACCCAATCAAGGTTGTGCTACTATTTGCACCCAACATGTAGTTGGTGCTATTGAAGCCAATATTGCCTTAAATGTATAAGACATAACCTTCCTTATCTTAGAACTCCAATGCCTATTCAAAGATCCTTTCCAAGATTGCTATCATGCATAGTCAACAACATATTACCTATAGACAAAATAACTTGCTGATTCCAACAGTCCAACTACTTACCTTTTGACAATACAACAAACTGTTTTTACAATACATTAAATGAAACTCCCCTAATCAGTATGTTAATAGCACCCCAACCTACGAAACACAATCACAACCACGAAGCTTACATATCTTACCGTCGGGGGCATTAAAAAGGAGGAAGGAGAAGAGGGAGAGAGAGAGACTGAGAAAGAGACAGAGAGAGTTTGAGGAAATAAAGAAAGGAAGGAGAGAGAAAAACTTTTTAGAGTGTAATTAAGGAGATGAAAATACTTTTTAGAAACTTTCTATAATACTCAAAATTATAATATATAAATGAAAGAAAATGAAAGCTAAAAGGATAGAAAAACAGAGTGACCATGAAAGAGGGAATAGAAATCGACAATTAGATTTGGACAAACTTCAATTCTTTCAATAAATGTTATTCGTTAACAAATGTGGTTTTGTGACAATTATGGAAACATTAACTAATTTTTAGCACTTTTGGAATAAAGCGTTCAACTTTATAGTAGAATCGTGCTAGATTCACAAGTAAATATTTTTTTTTTAAAAATGTTTATATAACCATTGTAATAGATAGCTTTTAAGAGAGAGAATGGAAGAAGGATGGAGGGAGGAGAAGAGAGGAAGAGAAGGAGGGAGTAGGAGGAGGAGGAGAGAGAGAGGAAAAAAGGGAAGGAGTGGGAGGAGGAGAGAGAGAGGAAAAGAGGGGAGGGGGGAGTAGGAGGAGAGAGAGAGAAGGAAAGAGGGAGGGAGGGAGGGAGTGGGACGAGAGAGAGAGATGGATCTAGAGAGAAAGGTGAGAAAGAGAGAGAGATGAGCCAGGAGGAGAAGGAGATAGAGAGGCTAGGAGAAAAAGAGAGAGATAAGGGTCGGAAGAGAAAGAAATAGAGCAATTAAGAGATAAAGGGGTAGGGAGAGAGAGATAGAGCGATAAAGAGAAAGAGAAAGAGAGAGAGGGAGGCTTACTAAACCGCTCAAACTACACAAGAAGAGTGGATACGAAGGAGAACAAAGGAACAAGCAGGTGAAAGAAAGCAAGGATGAATAGAATAGGGAAATGAGATAAGACGAGGAAGAAATATAAGAGAGAAGGTATATATGAAGGAAGAAGAGATAGAAAGAACTTAAAAACAAGTTAGTGACTACCACACAAATAAGATCCCCTAATCATCATGTTAATAACACTTCAAACTACGAAACACAATCACAACTACGAATTAATCCATTTTACATAAATTTAACCTTTAGTATTGCATTTCCTTGTTACTACTCATTATCACAATCATTTTGAACGAAACTTTTCAAAAAATTATTTGGGTACTCAATAAGAAACCATATTGCGTTCTAAAATAATATCCAAAACAATAGTATAATTTTTTTTAAATAAATTCTAATAAATTCTAGATAACTTCACTTATAACAATTGTTTTTCCATAGATATTTCCCTATAGAAACTTTATCACTACTCCTCATTAAGTCATTAGTACTTACAAATTCTTCTATCCTTGCTATTACAAAACCACGAATATCACATAAACCAGACACAACCACGAATTTTACTTATCTTACCGTCGGGAGTGCACGCGTGCTCCAACTAGTTTTCCAAAAATCAAAAAGACTTCCGCGAAAAATAATTTGGATAAAATTATAATCTAAACTTGCTGTTATTCACAGCTACAACATGATTCTTACCTTTCACAGCTACAACATGATTCTACTAAGTAGAACTACAGGACATTAAGACCCCTCTTATGTATTCAGTATCCCCTATTTCTATAGAGGCTTTTCTCCTCGAGCTTAAATACTACCTGTACAAGAATACTGTACATCCAAACAGTTCACTCTTCCAGCTTCATTTGCTTGTCCCGTAAATCTTGATATTCCATAAGCCTTTTCTTGGCCACGATATTCCCACCATTATATCCATTCATAAGCTGCCTTCCTATCTTCATCCTCCACTCTGAGCTATCCAACTCTTGCTTCCGATCATGAACTACTCTGTCACAATAATTCAGCATTGTTCCCAAACCAGTGTTTGGAGTCCACCCATATTCAGCCAATACTTGTGCTTCCCCTTCGCTCAAGTCTTCTCCAACCTATGACCAAATCATGCACAGGAAAAGTATGAACACATAGGCACTCAGAAAAAAAGTGACAATCCTTTAAAAGCATCAAAACTTATTAAAGACGTCCTAAACACTAAAGAAGATAGGTAGTTACAGAACCCCAAAATTTATAAGACAATTGAAGAAAACTAGTATGTTCGAGCCAGTACACTTGTCGCTTGTCACCTTAACTAGAGATCATGCTTTCACCTAAACTAAATATCAGACAAACCTGGAGAAAGCAGAGTCAAGAAGACCTGCAAACAAAATGCAACAAGCAACTATGACTGATCATGGGTTGGGTTGCACTCAGAAAGGCCTATGACATCAGACTAAGAACATTGGACTATGCCGTAATGAACCTGAGATTAAAATGTCTAAAAAGACCAATTGTGCCAAGTCACCCCAAAAAACATGGTGATATCAATTGAGCAAAGCTGGGCCTGATGAGCTCTAGCAACATGTAGGTTCAAATTGTCACAAAGATATGTTTGTGTAAGAGCAAACCCAAACACTAATAATAATAATAATAAAAAATAAATAAATAAAAAAATAGGACATCAAAAACAAAAATAATCATAGGCAAAAAGACAAAAATAAAAATAATCATAGGCAACCTAAGCATAAACTTACGAGAATCAAAAGGCAAAAAGAAGTAAAGTAGAAACAACAATTCGAAACAAAAAAAATAAAGTCCAACTCGGGAAGAGGCTGAAGAAAGTTTGGTACGGGTATGGGAAATGGATAATACATGGACAACATACGCAATAAAAGAATTAGCATCACTGAAAGAAAAAACTATCACCTACTCTCTCCGTTTCTAAATGATCTTCTGGTTTGCAAGTTTTACGGGAATTAAGAAATAGTAGGAGATAGTACATACATTAAAGAAGAGTAAAAAGTACAAGAAATGTGAGTGGGTCGCAAATAATAAGTACATGAAAAAAGAATAAAGTACATGCATATGGGTGGAGGCAATTTAGAGGAAATGTGAGGGTACTATAGGTACGTGAGTGAATAAAACAAAAGAAAGATGAGGATAATATGGTCATTTAATAGTGTCCAAAAATGAGAAAATACGAAGTAGGAATAACAATTTAGGACGCCTAAAAAGGAAAACAGGAAGATCATTTAATAACAGAGGGAGTACCTTTTATATAGCAAGGTTTGATAAGAGCTGCCTTACCATATATAGTTAGTAAACAACATTTCTTTTAGACATTTATGTGCAAGTAGCACTACATTTTCCTTACCTGAATTGATCAATTGCACAAAAAAGGCAGTAATCAATCACAAATTTTCCCCTGACTAAATAAGTGAGAATAATAAAAACCAAATTAACTTGTTTTTTAGTCTAAAAACAGCAATACTTTTACACTTTGTTTGGATAGCAGCATAGAAGAGAAAGGAAGGGGAAGAAAATTCCCTCTAAAAATCTCTCTAATATTGGAGGAATGGTGTTAATTAAAACCTTCCTTCCCTTAAGCTCTTACCAAACAAGGGAGCTCGTTCCCATCCCTTTCCTTCCCTCCCTTTCTCCCCATTTTCTCTATTCAAACAAAGTGTTCCATAACCTTTTTTTTCCCAACTCAAACTAGGATGACAACAAAATTCGGCAGCTAGCTAATCCCAAAGAATGAAAATAGAAAGAACATATCTAACACATGTCACATGTGAGGATATAAAACTAGTTTGGCTTTGAAACATGGAGATTCTCCTAAGTATTCACAAAATGCTTTAAGTCTTTAATCCACTCTTTCACATAAAAACCAAAATAAAGGCCAGGAATATTGTGTAGGTGGCTGTAGAAAATATTCATCCTGCCCCAGCTCTCATACATGAAAATTCCACCTATGTAAATTCCCAGGTCAAATATGCCCCATTCCCACCAAGAGAAAGGAATTCAGTACCTAACATGAGATAGAGTGCAATAAAAGGGCAGAAAAAGTCCCAAGGGAACATTCCCCCAATCATTCCTTTAGCCAAGAATACTCCACCCAAAAAAAAAATATCGCCATTTATATCTTTTATTCTATGTTAATCCAACTCTTCATCTTACATCAAGTATCTGTGTTAGATGCTATGCATATGCAATATATTTTAAAAATGGCCCCCTCTAAGGCTTAACCAATTGACACTAAATTATAAAACAGTCCCAAGGGGATATTCCTCTGAACTATTCCTCGGAATAGCATATGTGCTATTTACGTTAAGATCATATTTTATGTCAGACACCACACCAAAACTTAATCTTACTCTTTCCTTCAACTAGCACACACATGCTCAACACAAGGTAACCTCTCTACCCTTGACCACAAAAAGTCTCTTATAATCTAACCTTTCAAGTACCACAAGAAACTTAAATATATAGAAAGTACTGCATAATCATAAGTCCAAATATGTGTAATATTGTAGTACACCTTCCTTTGGGAAGATGGAAGATAGCCCTTCTTCCGCCATCCAATTTCCTAGAGACATTTTGAACAACTTAACTAATAAAGCTATTCCTCTCAAGAAGTCAAGATCATTCCTTAAATTATATCCAAGCAGGGTAAACCATGGACAAAGCATCACCCAAGAAAATATCCAAGACATAATACTCCATACTTGACACTAAAATTTGGTCCTTCCCACATTGTTTATGGTCAAAGTAAAGGCAAAGGAAAGGATGCACTCTTGATTCCATCATTTCAGTAATGATGATCTATTCAAGCTTACTATTCAATAATAACCCAAAATGTTCATGATTAAAATAAAATTCTCCTGTAAGATTTGTCTAGTTAAAAGTCAAGCTAATAAAGTAATATCTGTTCCCTGTTTAACGTTATTCACAAGGAGATGCACCTTTCATGTCTACATTTGTACCAGGATGACCATATTCTACTGAGTGTCAAGTAAATAGTCAAAGTAGATTACCACTAATGGTCTATCCTCTATTAGGGTGATCCGGCCACAGCCTGTAAGCCTCATCGCAGTCACCAGACGCTTGACCTGCCAGGCCACAGGAACAGAATTCAGCAGCTCAAAGAAGTATGTCGCATAGCCATATTCAGGACGCTCCAGCACAATTCTGCATTCAACAACTTCTTTAAATAAACATAAAACACAAGATTCTAAAACGATTAACTACCAGCAATTTACACCTGTTATGTCTTTGGAAGACAAATAAAAAAGACTGAAGGTCTCGACACCAGCCCCATTCAACAGGCCACTTCCTATTTCGCATATATTTTGTCTGTAATGCAGCTCAATAACCAAGAACAATAACAGGTGAGTAGTAAGTTACAAGTATCAGTTCAAACCATTTAAACAATCAAGACTTGAATTATAGATTTCAACATTTTGCAAGCCATTAAAGTACTAGTAACTTACCTGCTCCACAAGTGAGAGGAGACAAGACAAACAGTAGCTAATTTTCTCACCCTTTGTGCGTAAAAGAGGAAACTTCAGAAAAGTTTGACGTTGTGAAAACAGCTGCATTAAAGATATCAAACAGAAACAAATAAATATCAATATCTTGGCGCCTTCATCATATGAAGCTCAGGCTAAAATACAAATATCAGACTCGAGCTAAGATACAAGAGTTGTACAAAATTTTCAAGTCAGGGATACTGAAACATGGTCAACAAATTTAGGATATTGACGTGGGGGGCATGTCCAATTAAAACCAAGATATTTTTTCTTAATATTCCCAACTTTTAAATAGGATTTATAAGTCAAAGGTTTTTCAAAAAAAATGACCAACAGAATAATACTCCCTCCTCTGTCCCTTAAAGATTGCCCTATTTGCCTTTTCAGGCCGCCTTTAAAAATTGCCTTTAAGGGATACAGAGACAAAGATACGAGCGTCACATCGAAAAATTTCAGGTCAGGGATACTGAGACATGGTCAACAAATTAAATCCTTATCCAGTTATCTTTTACTTCATATTATGTAGCAGCCACAATCAAAATCTAAGGTTATTATGATCACAAGGAAATTGAGAGTCACACCATCAGCCACATGTATTCAAAACTAGTTGCATGGAGTATGAATATTGAAGGTAACTTTAATGGTATACAACATATCACAGAAAAGCAGCAGCATATACATAAAATTAAGTAAAAAAAACAATTCAAAAAATATATATATAAACTATTAGCCTTTCAGAAAAACTCATTTGCGGACAGCATAGATAGTCCTCAATAGGACAAAATAAAGAGGGAGAATACTTTAAAATAAAAGGAGCTAGATTAACATGAAAGGCATGCGTCAAACCCGCTTGATAGTTAAATAGTAATAGAAAATTGGTAAACTAACCAACACAAAGATAGAAGGGAATATAAAGAATCACAGCAATAGCACGTTATTCAATTTTGGACAATATGCTCATCGAAGTCAATGTGGGCACAGTCACGCAGAGCATCTAATCTTTGGTAACAAGGACATAGTTCACATTTCCAACATATTGAAACAAATTCAAAATCAAATAAATCCAAATACTGAATATTTACAGAATGAAAGTATTTTTGAAATATACCACTAATATACAGCATGTATCACTATTGACTACAATAAGGAGTAGATAAAATAGAGAATTAGAAACATTTTAAGTTAAAGAAAATTAAGGACCAAACTTTAAAATTTAGAAAATAAAGAACTCAAGAATACAATAACTAATGGAGTAATGGACTTTACACTCCTCATCATATCATCCAACCCCCCCCCCCCCCACCCCCCCTTCCCTTTTACCCTCTTCCTCCTCCTCTCCCTCAACCTTAAAGCCAAGTAGCAATTTAGCAATAACCAGCAAGGTAAGTGTCTCTTCAAGCACTGAAGAGTGTGATGACACCCTGCCAAGTGTATCTGATTCTGAAAGATGGCTCGGACCCTTATAGGCTACAATGACTTAAATATATGGCAAGGTTCTGGTGCTTTTAAAAATGAACACTTTACTGCTGAGAAGAATGTCCAACAATGGATCTGTTAGCCATGCTGTATCCTATATTAGATTGGGCCCAAAAAAAACGCATACACCCTAGTGAAGTTGCGTCCATGTATCACTGCATACTCTCTAAGCAAATGTGTGCCATACCAACCACAAATAGTAGGATAACAACCATTATGCAGACTGGAACAAAACTTAGACATATTTATTATAAAAAGTAATTTTTTTATTCTTATAAAAAAAAAAAAAAAACCACGCTAACAAAATTAACAGGCAGGTCATAAACAATTGGAGGACTGGTAAAAGTAATACAATGTAATACTAACAGCTGCACTATCACATTTATACAAAATCAGCCTTAAACTGCTAGTAACTTTCATTTCAATTTGCTACAAGACCTAAATATATAAGCATAAACATAAATAAATAAATAAATAAATAGAAAGAGAGAGCGCAATTCAACTCCAAGCTTCTCCAAGACTCAACAATATAAGCATAAACAAAAATAGAAAGAGAGAGAGAGAGAGAGAGAGAGAGAGAGTTCCACTAAATCAATTATTTGGCAGCACTGTGCTGAATGTATTGCACACTATGCTCACAAAAGGGAGCATCTGTATGCAATAGATTTAAGAGAAAGCACATAGATATCAATGCATGATAAATAACCTGTGATATTACAGCTTCAAGCTCAGCGAAGCCATCTAAATTGAGAGAATCATCAAGAATATCATCAGTATCTTCTTCCCCATACAGCTTAATTTCTTCAGGTGATACTCCTTTGTCAAGCAAAACCTAGCAATTTAAAAGTAGTATTAAAATTTATTCTAAGACTTTGTCCATGGTTCAAGTGTGGCTCTGTGATGCAGAGAAATCTGGTAATTGGATAATTGCAATTACTACCTTTAAGAGACCAGGAGCATCTTCTTCCAATGCAGTTTCAACTGAATCACTGAACAGCAATTTAAGTATATAAGAAACCAACTATACATAAGCTACTATGTACAACAGAAATAAGGCTTCATCAAAATATTACGTTACAGTTCTTCTCTTCTTCCTAGGTCGACTGATACTAACTGGTTTGACAGATTCTAAGACATCATTACCAAAATCCATAGCTGAGGCCTCATCTTCCTTAGGGTTTCCGGGCATACTCATGCTCGGTATTCCACATGAGAGCAACTTGACTCGATCTAAAAGTGGCATGTGGTCTAACTCATCCACAAGAATGTTAGAAAACCCTGGCTCATTTTTCACAGTTAAAGTCTGACCAATGCCATAGTTCTTCATTATATTCTCTCCTTCACAGCATAACCCGTTTATATCAAGAGGCTCATCCTTGACTTTTGCAAGCGGTGGTACAACTGAACTTGCCAAGGCACAAGCATCCATCATAGTAGTTTCCTGGGTACCAAAAGATTTACATTCTGTAGATAAAGAGAATGATCTGGATTTTATTGATACTGCAGCAGATCCAGATGAAGGTAGTGAACAGATTTTAGCAGTACAGGATGTTCCATTAGTTGCATATTCTGACGACAATTTTTCACTATCATTTACTTCAAGAGTTATATCTCTACCAATCGGTGCATCCTTAGCAGAATCACTTTGTGCAGTTTGCAACACACCTTTGGATAAGTTGGGCAACCCTTGATAATTCTTCTCCTGAAATAAAGTATATAGAGTCCAGAAAATATACAATGTCAGTAAATCCAAAAATGACTACAAATTACACATAGTAAAGACATGCACTGCAAATCTTTAACAACTATACAGAGATATGAATAAATCATAATATGGGGCGAGTGCTCAAAAGTCGACGAACAACCATGGGTGGCATAGTCTAGGAAGTAACAATGGCCTGGGAGATTTGGCACATAAGGGAATGTCTTGGGTGGACATCGGCTTGGACTCAAGTGAGGCCGAGGCCTCACGGCATAACTTAGTACAATCCGATAATGCTAAACATGGTGAGGGTGCATTTGCAAGGCTTGTGAGCGGCAATAGCCATGATCACCATTTTAGTGAGATCATGGGAGGTAGTTACCTTGATAAGTAACTGCCTAGTGGTTGACATGGTACCCACGGTTGTGGACTACATGGGCAGTTACCTTGGATGCCTCGTTATAGGGATCATGGGGTAGTTTAGACGGTTACCATAGCCTCAGGAAGGGTGGTAGTTGCCAAGCAACAATAACCACAAGGCCCTTAGTGGATATGGTGCAAGCGATTACTCCTTGAACTTAAGAGGGGCAGGTAGTGGGATTGTGGGCGGTTATGATAACCACCAATGTTGCCCACTCCTCTTAATATGAAGTGCAGTTATGCACAAGGGGATCATGGCTCCTATAAAATAGGAGCATGGTACATAGTGGTGTGCCGCTGGTTTATTAACCTGTGGTGAACGATGCATCCCAAGTGGTTACACCAATAAGATGTGCTTACTAGAAAGTAGGAGCACAACGTTAGTGCCTTATTGGGTTTTTATGCAAGAGAACTGACAGTTACCTTGCGTGAAGCCAAGTAGCCAACTATGCGTCCATACCCATCAATAGTGGCACAACTAGTACATGCCTCCAAAAATGTAGGGAGCATGGTGAGAGTGGGAAGTTATAATTGACCGGTTATACAAAATGAACATGAGAGCACCCTCATATACTTGATAACGCTATTCTATATCTTGGGCCATGACATCGCCCTCTGCACAATAGATGCAAGTCCCAGCAAGGTTATTCAAGGAAATGTTCGTTGTTCGTGATTTTGTCCAAAAGGGAAGAAACACATTTTTTCCTAATTCAACAGATGCACTTTTTAAAATTAAAAAGCAAATACAACGAACCTATTAGATTACGTTAGTATAAGATGTGGGCACAAGACATAAGTTTTAGTATTGCAACTAACTTCTGGGGTCAAGGTTAAATTAAAGCATGTTCTATGGGAGACTAATATGTATGCTAATTGTAGAGGTAATGCTCTCTGGATTATGGAAGAAGATATGGGGGCAGGTGGCTAATTGTTCTATTTATGAAGATTCTGAACATTTATTACATTCTCTACGCAAGCATCATATTGATGGTCGAATATATATTGTATAAATTTTTTTCTTATATTAAAGTGCAACTAGCTGCTGGAAATAATTAAAGTACATGAAATCAGACATTACAATTAAGATGATGCCAGCACGCCCTAATTAGAAAGATTTGGTATTTGAACTAACAGCTAAGTGAAAAAATGTGAATTCATTTCAATCATTTAATTATTTAGGATAATTTCTTACCTAATCATTAGCAAAAGTGTTGTAATGATGCAAATCGGAACTCCTTATGACTATTTTTACAACTTTGTAATGATGCAAATCGAAACTCCTAATGACTTTTAACAGCTTTATTTAGCAACTCTCTTGGTTTTACCCTTACTCTTCAAGTGGGAGTTTTACAAATAAGCTTTTATTATTGTCTTTATTTTCATTTGGTTTATTTTAGGTGTTTCGGGTTGGGTCTATAGTCTACACACAGGTTCCAGATTGTAAGGTTCATTAATTGATTCTTTAGGCATTGTCTTTTTATTTAAATAGGTTATTTAGTTACCTTTTCCTTGTTGGGGTAGAAGATAAGATATTATTTTTTGGGTCTTGTTAGCTTTTGACCGTTGTAGTTACATGCCTATGGAAAAAGCCTTATGTATAAGATATTATTTTTTGGGTCTTGTTAGCTTTTGACAATTTAGTGTCCGAAATCCTTTTTTTTTTTCTGTTATGGGACGTGACTTATGTATATTTCTAAACATAATTCCATTTGTCACAGAGTTTAAACATCTTCAATATTTGAAAGAACCGTTGGACGTTCCACAGTGCTTCACACCTAGTTTAGTTTTCCATTGGTCGGGGAAAAAAAAAAAAACATCATAAACTAGGAAATAGGAACAAGATTCACTTCTGGGATCTGGATAAGGAGCCACCCCTAACTTTTTTTATCTCTTTCATCTTTTGATTACACATAGAAAAATAAAAATTGTCCTAAAGATTAATATTACTTGTGATGGAGCTTCCATTTTAGGAGAGCCCAAGATTAAAAGGTAAGGATGTGAGAAATGTTATTAGGAATGTAGCATGTTAAAAGCATGCCCTTTCATTGAATTTCAAAATTCTTCTAGTCTTTCCTCATAATATTTCAGTAGATACAAGTTCTTACTTTAATCCAATCTTAGGCCCTGTTTGGTAATTAGTTAGTTATGTTGTATTAATTGGTTTAAATACTTGACTGTATTAGTTGGTTTAGACTAATTGGTTATAAATGGATGGTTGTGTAAAAGTGTTTGGTAAATAGTTGTTAATTATTAGTTGTTTCAATGTATGTATGTAATAGCTAAAAAGCTAAATGTTCAATAAACTAATTGAAAAAGGCTACTTTTTGAGCTTTTTCAAAATGCTCTTTTTGAAACCAAAAAGCTCTTTCAATAATTTTTTACCAAACACTCAAATTAGCTTTTTATTTGGTCAAACCTTTAATAGGCCTCAACAAAAAGCTCTTCAAAAATCTCTTTACCAAACAACGCCTTAGTCGGGAACGTAAAGTGAAAGATCCAAAAGATGAAATCTTCAATATGAAAGGTTTGCTTAGCAAGGCTCAATACAATGACAAGGTTTCCACAGGCTTACCCCTAGTTTCCTTTCCTTTGTTTTCCAAAACAAGAGATGATACCTTATCAATCTTTGACGATGAATACATGGTTGGCAAGCATTTTATTTTATTTTTTTCCTATTTCACCTTACTATAGGTAAATTCTTAGCCTTTAAAAGATGTATGATCATAACAACAACAAACAAGGTAAACTAACATGAATCGTCATAAAGAACAATCCACAAAAGAGAAAATAGAGCATAACAGGACAATTGATTGAATAAAAGGAGTGTAACTTTTAGCCCGGATGAAAAAGAAGAGTTGCAATAGGTCTACGACAACCACCATAAAACTTAGTCACACCTTATGGATCAACAATTCGGTTAATTTGACTAATAAAAAAAAAATAGCAATGACAACAATCCTCAAACACAAATAGGCCTCATGCATGAGTGTTAAGTATCCAATGTGGGAGCAAGTTGAATTTAAGAGTCAAGCCAGCATCACACAACAACAACCCAATACAAACTCCACAACAACCCACTTAGCAACAAATTAATTTTTGGTTCTTTTACCGCTAGGAATGATGCTAATTTTTTTCCTAGTTAGATTGGGAGTCACATGGTAACATTATAAACAAAGCTACAATTGTTTCTTGAAAGATCGGTTATGATATTAATTATTTCTTAGCACATAACATATGGTTTGAAGTTCAAATATTCTTTCATCTAAGTTGTCTTGAAAATAGGAAGGTGGTGGGACTCTCAATCAACTCTCTTTCTTACTTTTTCTTACAATTCACTTAACACACTTACTTTTGCTTAGACATACTATACCATAACCCACTTTCAAAACTATATCTCCTTCTCTCCTTAGTCATTGTTGTTATAATAATTGTAACTATCATCTAGATACGGAAGCCGTAAAACTTAGATTAGGAAAGTATACATAACTCGGTATTACGCAATTTCAAATAACCAAGCTTTGTACAAACCTTAAAATGAAGCTTTATAGGCATAATTGATTTCATTTAAGGATAATTATCAAGAGCTACATGAAAATTTCACTCTAAGCCAACTCTAAAGTAACTTTTGGCTTGAAAAGAAATTGTCACAACCATATTAAGGGCAATAACAATTAAACTTGAATGACTACATACTTTTACAAGGCATATAGAGTGGACGTCTGATGATCAAATGTTAGATTATATGTCCCAAGCGCATAATGTGTGTTATGCACTCTTGCCTTTTTATTATACCTATATGTTCTTTTATTGAAAATTTTATTATTAATAAATCCATCGTTTATGAATGATTGAATGGGGATTAGGCATGTTTAATTTTTTATAAAAAAAAAAAAAAAAAAAAAAAAAAAAAAAAAAAAAGGAAAGAGAATCTAGGTTGGCAACATAAGACCAACATAATTGATCCTTTCAAACGATGGAAGAGAACAAATCATTAAAAGGAGTTTATCAATAAAAGCATGCCTATTTATTATGTAGCAATGAATTGTATGTTCTTTTACTCCAAATAGTATGTGCTCGGGGATGAAGGATTTAAATTGCATCCAATGACAGATTATAATCCATATAATGTCCACATAATGACATATATCTCATAAATCTGACAGTAAATACAATGAGTATGAAGTGCAAAATATGTTTTGCCGAGAAATTGTTAATCTTATGCTTTAAACCGTATTATATTTTTAATCCTAAAAAATTGTGTCATTTGGCTCTATAATGACTTGCTTAATACACTAATACCAAGAAACTTATAAAGCCATCTTTCACTAATTTAAATACTTCCTCCGTTTCTCAATTGATACATCATATTCCTTTTTGGGATGCTTTGCAATAGATGCATCACTTCTCTCTTTAATAAGGTTTTATATGTGAAATAACAATCTTGTCCTCGGCTTGTACTCTAAATAAGTGGAACAAACTCTCCACTTTTACTTTACATACCATAGTTAAGCTTATTACATAGGCAAACATGTAAATTACTCCACTCTCTCTCCTTATTGGTTTGAGTCATTTCTCTATGATGCATCGATTGAGAAACGGAGAAAGTATAAGTTATTACAATGATCTTCACAGGACATCAAGATCTGAAAATAGTCACAATTGTTTCATCTACATAAGATCAATTTTATTAGAGTATCACCATAAATTGTCGTGTACCAAAATTAGTGTTACTTCTACAAGAGAAGGCCATTAAATATTTAACAGCTATAGAGTACAGAACTACAGATATTACACACCAATCAAACATAGCAGAGTACAAATATTGCATATTATACAAGAATAGCAGAGTACAAATATTGTATATCATTCACAGAATAGCACAGAGACAACACCATTTAGCATTTTTCAATAGCAAGCTAAAAGGCTTTCTTCAATAGCAGTTTTCAATACCATTTAACAAAGTTTGAGACACCATACTCCAAAAGAGTTTTAAACAAGGAAAAAAATGCCGTGAATCAAGAGACATAAAACAATTACCTCCATATTTGATGTGGAAGACTGCATGACTTTCCTGTCATAAATATACAGAAATTGGATTATTTAGCAATTTAGCATACACATTGACCATGTAAAGCAAAGACAATGAAAATAAGCACTTACAAACTTTGGTTATAACCTTAGGAATATGAAACTTCCATGGACTAGTGATTTAGAGATAGGTTTTTACAGGCAATTTATATGGTGTATAGCCTAACTGATTGTTTATTATATTAGCAGTATTTGTTAGGATATTTACTTCAAAAAGCCTAATCATCTCAATCTGTGATCAGCACCAAAGATGTTGCGTAAGACTATCTTCCACCATGGTGGCCAAGCAATATAAAATGCCACAAATCTTGCACTTTTCATTTGAAATGTCAGGAACGAAAAAATTTGCCATTTACCTCTAGCAGTTTAAAGCATTCAATGTATAACAAATGAGAAACACAAACAAATAAATGGAGCAGTGAAATGAAGAAACAATATGTTTTACCTTTAGCAATTAAGAATCTAGAAGGCTAACAACACGGCGGTTAGGTGATGAGGAATCATATTTAGGCTATTTTTTCATATTCAAAACTACTTATTTTTAAAATTGAAGCAGACTAAACTGAAAAGACTCATAACACACCAGAGACCTAGCTTGATGTGTTATTTGAGACTTTATCACAAAAGGTTCAGACTAGACCAAGCCACTATTTTATTAGTTTAATGGCATTAAGATGCCTAATTGGGTCAATTTCCATCAATATGGTTAAGCTAACCTTAAACGCCTCTGTCATCATCAACTCTCTTCCTCTTCAACTAACAATAACAGCCCCTCTTTCTCTATCCTTCTTCCATCTCAATTTCAACCCCGAAACACCACCAAATCCCATAATTAACTTCTGAAAGTTGCAGCATAATATCCCATGCTTCTCTTCACAACTATTCACTCTCCTCTACTCAAGTGAAGGCTGATGCCACCTATCTTTTTCACTGCAGTCTCAGCTGACGTCAACGTCATCTTGCTGGGGATATACCACCTCAGAAGGTGCTGCTTCTGCTGTTGTCTCATTGCTCCGCTGATGTTGGTGATATACACGCCACCGCCACTGATACTCTGATTTAACGCAGCTGCTCCATTTTGAACACATCCCACCACAATGCTGCACCCCTTGACTGCCACCAACACAGCAGATGCAGCACGCTTTCACCGCCACAACTTGTCAGAAATTGCGCCCTTAAACCCAGATTGTTGTTTTGAACAGTTTCAAATATATTTGGGAAAAATTACTTGCTCGAATTTTACAAAACCAAGTTTTGGGTGTATAATTTCAATCAAATTAAACTTCTTTTAAGGTATTAAAATTTTACATCAAATAAATCAAAATAGGTAAATGTGGGTTTACATTTTTTAATGAAATCATTCACAATTGTTTGAATTCATCATGTAATACAATAGATAGAATATTAATATTAGCTATTTGAACAAAAACGAAGCCGATTTTGGATCAATCTATAGTTGATTAAGTTCTTTAAGCAAAAATTTAAGAAAAAGCATCTTTATTGACATATAACACCACCACCACTAATACAAGATCATATTTTGAATTTCTGTATAATCAAACTAGGTTGCAAAAACTAGGGGCTACCAATGAGAATTCCCCCTCCCCCCCCCCCTCCCCTCTTTCTTTTCTTGCATTCACATTCTAAGATCTAAAATGATCCTTAGTCATTAAATAACAGCGCATATAAATCATGATTGTGGTTGTGAGCGCAATAACGGTTAAGTTAAAGCTGTATACCGAGTAGAAATACAGTCTCAACATCAGTATGTTGAAATGGCGATAACAAAAGTGGAGAGTTTTTTGTATGCAGAACATGTGAAATATGATTATCACTGTGCATAACAACTTTAATGATGGGAAATTAGTGCTGTTTTCCTAACAGAATGATGTATAGAAGGCGTTTTTATAAAGATAAATCACAATTAACATCTTTTTGCAAAATAGTAAGTTGATAAGACTTAAAATGATGAGATATATTTAAACCATGTTAAGGCTCTTCCAGAAAAAAAAAAAAAAATACAAATAAAAAATAATAATTAGATCTGTTGATCCTAGCCACAAGATAAAAAGAAAGAGATGCAAACTCTCCGTTGAGTATCCCGTCTTTTAAGCCTATTATCCTGGTTTGAGTGACAAAAGATCACTATTCGGTCATTTACATTTTACAAGATGTAATTTATTGCATAACTCGTAAAAAACAATGCACGCCATTTGTTTCCCCTTCTACATAATCATGCACAATCTGAATAATAATTTTAAGACATTTTCAAATTTTCAGATAATTACAAATGAGCATAGGATAGTTGTATTCCTATGGCACCACATTATCAAGAGAAATGTGCTAAACAATGATTAGGATGCCAATTAGGCTATACCTTCAGCACTTGGATATCCACGTAATTTTACTTTTCAAGTGGCCTGCGTTATTTTCTAGTAGATCAAAGAGAAAAATGGTCAAGCTACCGATGTTTAGAAGGATGTGGGGAGACCAGTCTTTTAGAATCTATTTTTACTTTTTCCATTAAAAAGTCGCGGCAATAAATTTTGTAAGATTTACAGTGACCAGAGAGAAGAACTTACTGTGGTGCACTCCCTTCATAACAATTTTGTAACTGGTTAAACAAAAAATCACTCATTTTCTTAGAGACCACTTTTCAATGCTTGTATAATGGTCAGACATCAGATGAATGACTCTATTTGAAGAGTTTAACTATATAATGTCTATTCATTTATTTCATTAACAAAGCATTGGTCAAGTAATACCTAGAAATTTGACAAACCACGAATAAAATGATAATGGTTTCCCTAAGCAATAGAGCATTGTAAGATCCTAAGGATTGGAAAACATCAAAAACTCCCAGCGAAACAAACTCATTAATCAACACAAGATATTAGTAGAACGAAAGTAGTACCTTGATCCTAGCATTTTGCGTCGTTCTTTCAACGTAACATTGTCAAGAGCATCATCAAACTCATAGAACATCTTTCGCCGTTCTTTCAACATAACATTGTCAAGAGCATCATCAAACTCATTAAACACCTCATGCTTAACTTCAGTGGCTTGCACATTTGCACTGCTAGAGGCCATAAAGGGATCTTGTAAAATTTTACCAGGAACATCCGATGTTGTTCGGTGTCGGAATGCACTAACAGGTCCGTCCCAGCCAGGGCAGGAGAGGCGGTCGCCCTGGACCAGAGAGAAATGATCCAATTTCATAATTTCATCCAAATATTAAAGGGTTCTGCAACACATTAGCAACCAAATTTGATTCAATTATCAGATTAGGCTCGAAAAATCACATAATTATAGGAGAAAATGTCCAATATTATAGTTGCATCCTAACATTAAAGACAATTTTGATTCAATTATCAAATTAGGCTCGATAAATCACATAATTATAAGGATAAAAGGTCCTATTTCATAATTTGTTTCATCCTAACATTAAAGGCAAATTTGATTTAATAATCAAATTAGGCTCGAAAAATCAAATAATTTTCTTATCTAGCAACAAAATCACTTGTTATGAACTTTCATAACTCAGTATTATAACAAACAGTTCAATAATCGACTTTAGAAGAACCCTAAATGGAGTATACTGAGAATTCAATTAAACAATAATCCGAAATAGTGAAAATGATATTCGATTATTACAAAAAAAAAAACATCTAACCTGAGAAGCAGGTTCAATGGAGGATAGAAATATCAGAAGTCGCGACTCAATGGAGAACGTGGAGTGTGCTTCAATAAGAAACTGAGAAAGAGAAAGAGCGGGAGAAAGAGGAGTACATATGTGTCTACGACTCACTCTACGGACTACGTCTTCCGACTAAATTCCTTTTTTTTTTTTTTTATACTCCATAATTTATTTTATTTTATTTTATGGCAAATGCTATATTTTATTCGGGCCCGCCCCATTTGATATATTTGATAAACGCTTGTCGTTTATCTAGTGGTTCTTTTGTAAATAAGTCAAGCAGTATTAATTGCCAACTCATGAGTATGATGGTTGCGTGGCAAGGTTGGTCATTTAACTGAGCTAGCAATGAAATAACTCCGTTAGAAAGCTTCTTTCATTCATTCATCAATGGCAGCCATAGAACCACCATTGCCACCCGAACCAAACATGAACCTCCACGAAGACCATCCCAACTCCACCCACATATCTCCGATATCATTATTATCAACGGCTTCGCCGCCAAATTAAACTAAAACCCTGTGAATAAAGGGTTAAATTAAGGTCATGGTCAACCCCAAAGGGTAGGGGTGACCTTGTCCTCCATTGAAGTAGTTTTCTTTGCTTGTTTCGAAGATGCAGGTGAAAATTGAGAAAGAATTGTAAGGAAGAGTAAGGAGAGGAAACAGACGTTTATTTTGTTAACTCTGTTTGGTAGGTAGAAATTAAGTGAGTTTTATGACATGACATTGTTTCCATGTCAGTCATGGCAAAAGTACAATCTTACCCCCTTTAAAGTGGAAAAAATTGTCCAAAATACCCCTCGATATGTTTTTTTTGTTGATCAAATAGATTAACTTGTATTTTCTCATTTTATTCTATATATAAGCATTAATTACATAGTTATTCTCTTATATTTTCTAGAAAACATAGAATAAACTGATTAATCAATCAATCCAATTACATAATTAATACTATTCACACCTATAATAATAATTACAATGAAAATGCAATTTCCCAAGAGAAAAACTCAATCATCCACTTTCAATTCATCTTCCCAGAATAATATAATCGGCTATATGAAGTACAAAACAATAGTGCATACCATTCGATCTATTGTTTTTCGGCAATTGCTCGTGTTCAATTCGAGGAGATTTTTATGTACTACTTATTAATAGATGGTTAGGTAGGATATTAACTTTTTTTTTTTTTTTTTGAACAGTGGTAGGATATTAACTAGAAATGTTGTTTTTGAAGAATGTGGAAAAAAAAGATTTGCAGGAGTTTATAACCAGTTTTATTATATTTAATTTTTCTCTTTAATATCATGTTAGTGGTTTTTTTTACTGTCCTTCAAAAAAAATTAGTTTCAATGCGTTATTAAATGTAGTATTATGACAATTTATCCTATCAATAACACTACATTAAATGAATCAGTTTTTTAATTCAATAATAATATTAGATTCCATTGGAATAAGAAAAATAGCATTAATACTATGAAATTGTTATTTTTTTTATGCATAGCTCTTAGGGCTATGTATAGCAAAACCCTACAATTAATTACAAACCATTTAATGTACTAAAGTCAATCATACTAAATCACCAAGTCAATTGCCAACCTTGCATTAATTATCACCAAGTCACAAATGTAGCAACAAGTGATATATACATATATGCATATAAGTAGGAACTTATATTAAGTCCAAAATATGTAGGAACTTCTATCAATATACAAAAGCGACCACTTAAAGCTGTATACGACCTTATATTAGAAGCATTAGCTCAGCAAAATAATGTGATCATTTCACATGCTTATACATAATATATATGCTAACCATTGTGTCACAAACTTAAGGGGGAGGAGGGTGAGCTTGCATAAACCTCTCCACTTGTTGTTTGAAAACCATGAAACTTTCAATGGTTTCGGAAAGGGTCTACTATGACTTTTTTTTGTAGCGAGAAGAGAGAAATGAAAGAGAAGGAAAGAAAAGGGTGAAGAATGAAGAAAACCGTCAAAAAAAATTGAAAAACCCTAACTATGGAGGCTAAATAAAACTATCCCAAGGAAAATCTAGAGGGAACTCTAGATATATATGAAACCTGCTAGTATGTCTGTATTTTCATTCATTTATTGGGCTTAACCCAATTAGTATAATGACCAAGTTACAGTGTTATACTAGTTGACTAATTACTACTGTAAGTATGGTAATGCAATAGATAGTTCTTCCAACTGTAGTTACTTTCTCCACCCTTGGTTGTATTTGGAAGATAGAGGATTGGACAAAATTAGACGTTTTGAAACATATAGAGGCTTCACCACCCAAATATCTTTTTTTTTTTTTTTTTTTTTTTTTACTGTTTGGGAGATAGAGTTTTGCGACATCTTTTTGAAAGCTTTTTGTAATTAATTTTTTATTAAAAAAAACTTAAACATCCATGATAGTTGCTATTATTACTCATTTAGTAATGTGAATCAATTAAAAAAGCTAATGTTTAAAATAGTCATTTTACACAATCAATCAACTATTTACTATCTCCCAAATACATACAATAAACAGCGAATGCAATTAGCTAGTTAAATCATCTTTTCCAATCAACTAGTCAAACCAGCTAATACAAATATCTATCAACTATTAACTTACTCCCAAACAAGGCTTTTAATATTATGAAGTGATTAAAATAACTACTACTGCCTTGGTAAGTTTGGACTTTGGAGTACAATATGCAACTATGCCTAAAACTTAAGGGAGTAAATTTTGGAGCAAACTTGGCTTTAATTGTTTACTACCAGCAACTCTTTTTTTTTTGTCAACTCAAAAAACCATATTCGATGAGCAAATCATCATATCTTTTCTCGTACATTGAAAAGAAAATAATCATAATAACATGAAATAAAATAATAGCTTCAATGGGAGAGAGAAAGCTCAAATTTTGCTTCAATGGAGGAAACAAGTCTTAAGAATTTGCTTCAATGGAGGAGAGAGAGAGAGAGATGGGTATATGAAGGGTTACTGAATGTTTTTGGAGAGATAAAGCAAATGACGTGAATAATAAGATTGAGGGTATATGTTCCATACACTAGTAGAGAAACACAAATGCGCACTGAGAAATGCGCACCAGTTATTAAAAACTGATGCGAAAAAAACAAGGCGGGATTTTATGTAAGAGAAATCGCACCGGTTCAAACCAAACCGGTGCGAACTTAAGTTCATGGCACCGGTTCAAATCGGTGCAAACTAAAAAAAACACCCTTTACCCCCTTTTTATTTCTCATCCGCCTCTCTTCAGTCTCTTGTTCTCTCTCTTTCTCTGTCATTTTTTGTTCTCTCTTTCTCTCTCATCTCTAGTTCTTCTTCCTCTCTTAGCTCATCTCTCAGTCTTCTTCCTCTTCTCAACAACTACCATCGCACAACCACCTGCTTCTCAACAACCACCATCGTTCTTCTTCCTCTTATGGAACCAAGCACAACCACCATCGTCGCTGCCAATTCGAACCTTGCAAGCGTCGATCGGCCACCGCTGCCCTCTGTCGGAAATCGGCGTCATTAGAACCAAGCACAACCACCATCGCCGTTGCCGTCAATTTGAACCAAATACAACAACAACAAACTTGAATCAATTATAAATTCAAAAATCAGAAATTCGTGGTTAGGGTTTCTGGGTTCTTTAGCTTTCCGTTTTGGTCCAATTATTCATGTTAAATGCCTTGATTTTTTGGGTTTAATTTATGTAATATTGTTTGAAATTGCTGCTCGTCCTGGAGGTTTATGCAGTTAGGTGTTGGTGTGGTGGGTTGTGGCAGGTTCTAGTGACGGCAGGTTTTTGGGTTCTTTAGCTTTCCTTTTCTCTCTCCTCCGAGCTCCTTCTCCATCACTGCGCCGCAAGCAACGCCATTAATGGCTAGGGTTTTTTGAAACAATTTTCATTCAATTTATGCAATTTATCTCCTTTTTCATCCAATTTTTGTGAAATTTCACAATTAATCCTACTTTCCCTTTTCATATTCTGTAACTTGATGTTTAAATTTCAATTTATGCCGATTTATTGATTATTTTTGTGCTACTTTGTAGAGGATTGTGATTAAAGGGTGAGGTACTCCTTAATACGAATCATCAAGGCTCAATTGAAATGAGGTACTCCTTGATGTTTAATTCTTGTTTCTGTTTAAATTTTAGGATTTTATATGGAAGTGTGCGAATTTTACTTTGATTCAAATTATAAGTACTTAAATTATAAATTTTACTTTGATTCTTCTTTAGATTCAATTTCTAGGGTTTATGTAATTGATTATTTGTTAGTATGCATTATTGAATTGTACGCTATGGAAGTGACTGAATGATAAATGTTTGAATGTTTTGTTGTGCGGAGTTGGTGCCCTATTTTGTTTGTAATGGTTTTGTGAGTATAGTAGTATCTAACGTGATTTTGTTAATAATTTTGGATGTAACTTCATATGTTTATAGGGCTTGCAACTCATTTGCTTGTGAATTGGAGCTGTTGTGAAGTGTGGTGTGATTGTGCTTTGGTGTGGAGGCTGCCTTGTGCCTTAAATTAAAACTACGGTCTGTTGTGTGTGAGGAGCAGAGCAGGGGTAGTGAGGGAGTTGTGTAACTGTGTTTTGTCTATTTTATTTAACACATATGCCATATATTTCTGATGTTAACTGTGGTAAGTCATTTATGTGGGTATAAATACTAGATATAGGGGTTGTGAATACCAGAGGATGAAGTGGTTTATGATATTAGATTTATTCATTTATGTGGGTATAAATACTAGATATAGGGGTTGTGTATACTAGAGGATGAAGTGGTTTATGATATTAGATTTATTTATTTATGTGGGTATAAATACTAGATATATATAGGGGTGGTGAATACCATAGGGGTATAAAAAACTTGATTAGATATAGATTGCTCTGCTTGGATTTATTTAATAACATGAGTGATGTGAGAATCTATGTATATACCCTTTTTTTTTTGCATTGAGTGTATATACACGAATCCTTTGAATTTTTAGGTCATTAATTTCATTGGTTTGTCTTCCTAAAATCACAATTCTGTTCTCACATTTCATGGTTTTAATTTCTGGGTTTTTTTTTTTAACTGTGATTGGCTATGTAGGTTATATAATAGAATTCTACGTTCAATTTTGAATCATTTCTTCTTTGAGGGTTAGTAGGGACTAGGAATGAGGGACTAGTGACTCTAGCCTAGCAAGGTTGCAGCTACTATTGCCCTGCCGAGGTTGCTGCTGCAGCTAGCCTGGTAAGGGTGCAGCTACTGCTGCCCTGCCGAGGCTGCTGTTGCAGCTGGCTTGGCAAGGTTGCAGCTATTGCTTCCCTGCTGAGGCTGCTGTTGTAGCTGGCCTGGCAAGGCTGCAGCTACTGCTACCCTGGCGAGGCTGCTGTTGCAGCTGGCCTGGCAAGGCTGTAGCTATTGTTGTCCTGCCAAGGCTGCTGTGGCAGCTAGCCTGGCAAGACTGTAGCTACTGCTGCCCTGCCGAGGCTGCTGTGGCAACTAGCCTGGCAAGGCTGCAGCTACTGCTGCTTTGCTGAGGATGCTGTTGCAGCTGGCCTGGCAAGGCTGCAGCTGCTACCACTCTGCCGAGGATGCTGCTGCAGCTGCTACCACTCTGCCGAGGATGCTGCTGCTGCTGCGTACCTCGCACCTCAGAATTTTACAACTTGTTGTTCTTATCCATAAACTTACAATTTTAACTAATATTCTGGTTTGGTAAATCTGTTAGGTCAGTCTAAGTTGTAAATTTGACATATATAATGGTTAATGGAGATAGGTCTACTATTTGTGTTGTTGTGTGTACATTGGTGACCTGCTAATTGCAATGTTTTCCTTGTGTGTGTGTGTGTGATGATCAGGAGCTGATTTCTACAATCCGGTTGGGCTGTTTAGTTTACAGAGGACAGAATTTTGACATAGCAGCTTGCAATTCCTTTGGTATACAAGGTAATCTATGTGTTTATTATAGTGATTTTTGTGAACTTGTATTGAGAAAGTCAGTGTGAGCAAGTGAATTAGCGTCGCTTTTTTTTTTTTTTTTTTACTTGGCTTAGGGTAAATCATGGACAATAGCCAATTGTTTACTTGTCTCTTAGTATTAGTTTATTTGATAGTTATTGTCCCATCCATTAGCTTAATTAAGATTACTTGATTCATTATTGTGTTTCTACTACTTATCCAAGTGTTATGTTTAAGCTCTCCACGATGCTGCCTCTTCACAAGAGTGTGGATCAACTCTCCACGCTGCTGCCTCTACTGCTCCCTTTACTGCTACTCCCTCTGCTGCTGCTACTACTTATCTTTGCTGCTACTGCTGCTTTACATAGCTGTTACTGCCTCCTATCTTTAATGATGTTGTTGCTTCTATAGTGCTCCTACTGCCTGCTCCTATTATGAAAATAGAAGAAAATATTGATTATGTAGTTTTTTTTTAGGTTTTTTAAAGTGTAATATTACAAGTTATTGATGAAAATATATGTGTTTTATGTATATTATGATTAAATATAAGTATCTGGTACAATTTAAGGTAAAAAATGAAAAAAAGAAAAAAAAAATTTGATTTTTTCCGGTGCTAATGTTAATTATTCCCATCGGTTTTGAACCGGTGCGAATAATTCAGCTTTTGGCATCCTTCAAATGACCAACGGTTCAAAACCGGTGCGCAAAGCCGGTTTTGAACCGGTGCTCATTTACATTTTTCTACTAGTGATAATATTATGAAAATGCCATTACTCACCAATTAATTTCAACCTTCAAATTAAACGTAATCAATGGTCTAGTTTTGTTCTCACGTAAGAAACCGATCTCACATAAGTGAGAATGATAGCAAGGTGAGAGTCCCTCGCGTAGGGTTTGAGAGAGAGAAAAAGTGAGTCCCTGCTAGGGTTCCATATCCCTAGCCTGATAAACCTTTTTCGATCCAATTTCTACTACAAATTGCTCTGTTTTTTTGTCTCTTTGATCTTGATTAACCATAGACGACCAATTGGTGAAGGAGTGGGAAAAATTGAAGCTGACGGAGGAGGAGAACCTGGTGTTTGGGGGTTCGAGTGAGATTGTGGAGGATGATGGGAAATTCAAGAATTGCCCTGTCATTGGTGGGAAAATTACTGACTAAAAAATCCTTTAATTTTGAAGCAATGAAAAGAGTTTTGAAAACTTTGTGGCGAATTGATGATAATGTTGTGGTGCGGATGATTGATACCAACCTTTTCGTGTTTCAATTCTTCAATATTGAGGATAAAAACAAGGTTTTGGATGGGAGACCTTGGGCTTTTGACAACCAAATTCTTTTGTTGAAGGAGACTAAGGCTGATGAGCAGCCTTCGGACGTCGAATTCAACTCATGCTCATTCTGGATTCGACTCATTGATGTACCTTTTGGAAGGCGTAATAAGCAATATGCGCGCGAGGTTGGTGACTGTATAGGCGAATGCTTAGAGGTGGATGACTTTGATTCTCTTGGGTGGGAAAAGTTTATGAGGGTCAAAGTTATAGTCGATATTAACAAACCTCTTCAACGGGGGTTAAAAGTAGTTGTTGATGTCAATACTACCAAGTGGGTTGGCTTCAAATACGAGAGGCTGGGAGATTTCTGTTATTATTGTGGTAGGATTGGCCACAATGATAAGGATTGTGATGCTAAAGATTGCAGGGAAGGAGATTCACCTATTGTGTTTCAATATGGTCCGTTTTTGTCTGCTTCCCCACTCCAATGATCTTGAGTTGCTGTCATGGAGAGGGAAAAAGAGAAAAAATGGTTAGACAACATGGTCGTTCGTGGGAGAGTACAGAAGACCGATTATAATGACCTTAAGGCAATCCGTCTCGGGCCACCAGGTGCTGCTAGAAAGCTCCTATTTTCTTCCCCAAACGATCATGTTATGACTTCTCCAAGGAAAGGGCAATTAAATTGAAGGCGGTGACTGTCGAAGGGTGCTCTGAGATGGTGTTGCGTCCTGTTTCTGTGCATGAGGAGAAAAATGCAATGCCATATGTTGCGCCTAAGTTAGTGGGCGTTGGTTCTGCTACAGTTGGGGTCACTAATGTTGGTGCAGCAGGCAGTGAATTGGGGAAGGCTATAAGCTATGAGCAAGGTATGAAGGGCAAGAAAGGTGTTCGAAGAGTGCAAGCGGTCAATGTCGCTATTGATATGGATACCTCAGAAGGCCATGCTGGTGGACTCCACTTACGCAAAAGAAGGGCCGATGAGGTTGGTGATGAGGAACATGTTGTTAGCAATTCTGTTGAGAAAAAAATTGAAGGTTTGGTGATTTTGTTAGTAGTTCAATAATTTCCACAAAAAAAGTAGAGGGTCTTTGGGATGTCCAAGCTCTCAAAAAACAATGAAAATATTAAGCTGGAACTGCCACGGGATTGGAAAATCGTGGACAGGTAGAGCTCTCCAAGATATGTGTTCGAGAGATAGGTCAAATATTATCTTTGTTATGGAATCTATGATTGATGACAAAAGACTTAATAAAATAAAAAATAAATGTGGCTATGTGAATGGTGTTTGTGTTAGTAGTATTGGTAACTCGGGGGGTTTGGGGATATGGTGGAAGGATGTGAATGTGAACGTTGTATCTTAATCTATGCACCATTTTGCTATTGATATTCTTGATAATAACAACACTGCAAAGTGGAGAGCAATTGGGATTTATGGATGGCCGGAACAAGCTGATAGACATTTGACTTGGTCTCTTATGTCCAATCTTAGAGCAGAATGTGATTTGCCTTGTATCATGTTTGGTGACTTTAATGAAATTATTAGCTTGTCGAAAAAAGAAGGTGGGGTCCCAAGGAGTGAGAGGCTTATGGATCCTTTTCGAAGTACGATGGATACGTGTTCTCTTCATGACCTTGGTTTTAAGGGGAGTATTTTCACTTGGGAGAGGGGCAATACTATGGAGACTTTTGTAAGGGAGAGATTGGACAGATTTCTTGCTAGCGAGGAACGGTGCCTTTTATTTTCGGATTTTGAAGTGACTAATATGCCGATTTTCAAGGTTAATTCGGATCATGCACCCATAATAATGTCTATTGTGAAAAAGGGTCCGGACTCGTATAGTGGAAATGCTTTCAAGTTCGAATCTTTGTGGCTCTCCAACGAAAATTGTGGGTCGGTGATTGAGAATGGATGGAGTAAGGGTGCGGGTTTGAGTATTATGCATAGGCTGGCGGTTTATAGTGAGGCGTTAGCATCATGGGCTGCACTTACCTTCGGATCTGTGAAGAAAAGAATTAAAATCGTGGAGAAGAAAATTCGTGAGTTGAAGATGGGTTCCATGGATGGTGGAAAGCTTGAGAGGTGAAATGAGTTGGTAGTGGAGCTTCAGTCGTTACATAAATTGGAGGAATCTTATTGGCATGCCAGAGCCCGAGCAAATGAACTTAGAGATGGGGACAAAAATACTAAATATTTTTATCATAAGGCAAGCGAAAGAAAAGCTCAAAACAGAATTGGTGGGTTATGGGGTGATGATGGGGTATGGTTTGAGTAAAGGGTTGATCTGGAACGCCTGATCTCAGCTTATTTCGAAAATCTCTTTGCTACAAGCTCTCCTACGGGGTTCCAGGATGCGTTGGAAAGGATAGAAAGTGTTGTCATGGAGGATATGAATGCAGTGCTGGACTGTGAGCCGACAGATGAAGAGATTAAATCTGCACTTTTTCAGATACACCCGAACAAGGCTCCAAGACCCTACGGTATGCATGCTTTATTTTTTCAAAAATTTTGGCAAAGCGTTGGCCCGGATATTATTGCTTTTGTGAAGAGTTGGTGGAGAGGGGATGTGGATTTGAGGGATATGAATAAAACTTGTATTGTTCTTATTCTGAAATGTACGTCTCCGTTGCAGATCTCAGAATCTAGGCATATTAGCTGTTGTAATGTGATATACAAAATTGTTTCGAAAACAATGGCTAATAAATTGAAGGGGTTTCTAGACAAGGTGATCTCTCCTAATCAGAGTGCGTTTATCCCAGGGCGCCTCATTTTTGATAACGCTCTTGTAGCTTTTGAAAATTTTCATTCTATAGAGTGTGGAGGTGAAGGTAAGAAGGGTAGCATTGCTATGAAGTTGGACATGATTAAGGCCTATGATCGGGTGGAATGGGTGTTTTTGGAAAAGGTGATGGATAGGATGGGGTTCTCGAGTGCTTGGATTGGAAGAATAATGAGTTGTTTGCAGAGTGTGAATTTTGCTTCAAAATTAAAGGGCAAATCTCGGGTTGTTGACCTTATGATTTTGATGATGACACAACCTAACTTATTTACAGACTAATAAGTGCTTGATTATTTAAGTGTGTGATCAGATGCATTGACTAGGAGAAATGAGTTGTCTTGCGAAGATTCCATGAGGAACAAGATAGCCCAGGGCAAAGTAATCTAAAAGAGAAGAGTTCCTTTACAAGAACTGGTGCTTCAGAGATGGAGTCTTGAGAAGAGAAGTTCCCCTTCAGGGAATAGAAGCTTCGGAGTAGAAGCTTCACCAGAGAAGAGAAGTTCCTTGTAAGGAATAGAAGCCTCAGAGTAGAAGCTTCATCTGAGAAACATGAAGACTAAAATATTTTTATGTTTTAGGATTTATGTGAGTATAAGAATTAGGTTACACTTTGACTTAGCTATGTGGAATTGGTCTAAAAGATAGAATTGTGCGTTGCTTAATTTTAGGAAAACAGTTGGCTTCAAAATCTTATCTTTTTAATTTATGAAAAGGATTTTATTTTCTCTAATTTTCGAAAATATCAGTTAATAAAATAAAATCTGATTTTTTGTTTTCCAAAACTTACGGACTACTCTCCATGACTTAGTCCATGTCATGGTCTTACACATTGAGGGGTTCATGTCCTTAATTTTAGGGCATGTTCTACTTAGTGGGTTTAGAGTAGTGGCGACATGGATAAGTAGCACAAAGAATTTTTTCCAAAGCAGATTTGGTCTATAAATAATCAGTTGATTTCAGTTGGAAAAACTCACCCTTGCTCAAATAGATTTCATCTATTGTTTTTTCTTTTAATTGAGTCAAGAGTCCAATTCCACATTAGTTAAATAGAGTGTTCTATGTTCTTATACTAAAGTTAAATCTTTCGAGTTGTATGTTGGTGAATTGGGAAGTTTGAGTGAACTTCTGTTTTAGCCTTGAGTGAAGCTAGGAGAAAGAGAAGAGAAAAAGAGAAGAGAAAGAGAAGAGAAGAGTAGCAACTTGGGTGACTTGTTGCTTGGGGCTTTAAGTTCGTTGAGGAACTCGAAGTTAGAGTCTTTAGTTTGTAATAGGCCATTGTCCTATTCTAGTGAAGATTCTTTTCCTAAAATCCCTTGTGGTCGTGGTTTTTCTCCTTATTTAGGGCCAAGGACTTTTCCACGTAAAATCTCTCTTGCACTTTAAGTTCCTTAAGCTTACTTGTTTTTATTTCCGCCAAAAGTTTGACGAATCTGTCATACTACAATTCAACCCCCCTTCTTGTAGTATTCATTGAAACAACACGGGTTTAGTGAATCCTACTAGGAGGCTCCAGCAGGGTGATCCTATTTCCCCATATCTCTTCTTGCTGTGTGCTGATGCTTTCTCAACTATGCCTGGGAAAGCGGCTAGGGATAATCGTATCCATGGTGCTAGAATCTGTAAGGGTGAGCCTCGGGTGTCACATTTGTTTTTTTTTTGCTGATGACAGTATACTTTTTGCTAGGGAAAATATTCAAGAATGCTCGATGATAGCTAATATTATTAGCCAATATGAAAGAGCTTCGGGCCAAAAAGTCAATCTCGATAAAACTGAAGTTGCTTTTAGTAAAAAAGTGTGCACAAATCGGTGGGATGAAATTATTGATACTCTTGGGGTTCGTGAGGTTGCTAGACATGAGAAGTACCTTGGGTTACCGACAATCATTGGGAGATCTAAGAGGACAATTTTTGCGGGAATTAAAGAGAGAATCTGGTATAAGTTGCAGAGGTAGAAGGAAAAATTGTTGTCACAACTGGGGAAGGAAGTATTGATCAAAGTAGTGGCTCAGGCTATCCCGACTTACATGATGAGTATTTTTAAAATTCCGAATGGCATTATTGATGACATTCATAGATTACTAGCCCGATTTTGGTGGGGTTCTACGGAGGAGGCAAGGAAATTACATTGGCAAAAATGGGAGGACTTGAGCAAGCCGAAAAATCAAGGTGGTATGGCGTTCTGTGACTTACGTGTTTTTAATCAAGCATTGTTGGCGAAACAATGTTGGAGACTCCATCACAACCATGGTATGCTTCTATACTCTATCATAAAAGCAAAATATTTTAAGAATTGTGTTGTGTTAGAGGCGAACCGGGGGCATGACCCGAGCTACACATGCAGAAGTATGTGGGGAGCCAAATTTCTCCTATTGGAAGGGTTGAAATGGCGGGTGGGGAATGTGTAGCTATAAGGTAACGGAGTAGGCACATATACAGCACAGTTACTATGAGGTAACAGAGTAGGCACACATACAGCAGAGTTACCAAGCAGCCACGCATTGTCCCAAACTGAAAGTGAACTAAATTAGCAGATTTCATTGATCATGTGAGTCGATCATGGCGGGTGGATGTGATTCAGGAGAATTTTTCTGTTACTGATCAGGCTTCAGTTTTACTAATTCCTTTGTCTTACCGCTCCCCAAGGGATGTGATGGACTGGTGGCCTTCTAAAAATGGGGAGTACAATGTTTGATCGGCTTATTGGCTTGGCAAACAAGGTCCGTCAATGGCGCATCTGTCTGATGATGTTTGGAAAATGGAGCATGAAAGGACCTCCTAAGCTAGCTCACTTCTTGTGGAGAGCTAGCAAAGGCTTCCTAGAAGCGTGTAGATACGGTCTCCAAGTTGCACTCAGGCTTGGGTATTCACATGTGCAGTTGGAGAGTGATGCTTCGAACTCTGTCCAAAGAATCAAGAAGAAGGCAGGAGGTTTTAACCCCTTATGTATGATGATAGATGATATTTGTTCTCTCTCTCAATGTTTTGCTATTTTATGTTTCTCATGTTAAGCGTGCGGGTAGTACTCTAGCTCACCATATTGCACGATGGGACTCAAGAGGTTGTAATGAATTTATTTGTTTAGTTCCGTTTCCGCAAAGTCTCTTAACTCTGGCGGAAATTAACCTCCTTTAATTAAATCTCGCAGGTGTTGCTCAAATAATATATATATATATATATATATATATATATATATATATATATATATATATATATATATATATATATGTATGGGATCATATGAGACAACATCCCTTATGTGAGAACCTGGTATATGTGAGGACATATTACAACCGTTGGATCAATTGCATCCAATGGCTACCATTTATCCCGGTCAAACATAATTTCAAAATAAATAAATAAAAAAAATCAGCGCTTTCTCTCTCCTTCATTTGGCAAGTTATTTTCTCTCCCCTTCTTCATCACCATTGCTGAAGAAACCCATGAATTTCCCACAATTGCAGCTATTCTCTTTCATCTCCCTCTAGATTTCAAGCAAAACCTACGATTCTCCCCCTCTTTCTCTCAAAACCCTAAAATCAACCGGCGATTAACGCATAAAAGATCAGCATTTCACAAAAACCGATTTCTTAGACGCCGAAATCCTGTTTTTGCAATCCCTGAGTTTCGAGGTCGGAACCATGAAGAATTCGGTGTTTTTGGTTATTGAAGAATTGATGATGAAGCTTAAAGAGGTGGCTAAGGTTGGTGAGATGGTGAGCATCGAGGTTTGTTGCGATGTCATAGATTTGATGTACGAGAACGATGAGATTTCGCGGATGTTCGTGGAATCACCGGTGTACCTTGCGGCGGCGATTGTGGCGGCGGTGTATGCAATGACGGTGCCAAAGCAGCGGTGCGAGTTTCCGGTGGTTGGTTGGGTGAATTTTGTGAGTGGTTGTAGAGAATAGGATGTAATGTGGGTTGTTAAACTCATTCTTCAACATGTTAACGACGAACGAAGAAGGTAAGTATCAATTGTACATAATTGATAATCGATTTTTGATTGAGGTTAAGCTAAGGATTACTGATTTAATTTGTATGTCTTAACTTAATGACTTTGGTTTAAGCTGTGTTTTTCAATTTTACTTAGCAATATTTGAGTTTTAATTGAGTAATGAATATGCATTAGTTAGTCCTTTGTTGTTTTATTTAATATGGTTTAAGCTGTTTGGTTTTGTTAATTGGGTGTGGGAATGCGTGGGAGTTGGAGTTGGTGATGCGGTGAGGTGGCGAGCTGCTGGTTGTGTTTGGTGGATGGTGGTTGAAATGGTGGTGGCGCTGTGGGGGAGTGAAGTGGTGCTGCGTGGGTAATTGAGAGGAGCAGGGGAGGTATATTGGTGTGAATGGTGGAACAGGGGATTAGCAGGGGAGGTGAGTTTTTTTGTTGGTGTTGTTTCTTTGTTTAAATTTCATTATTGAATTTTGGTTTCGCTTTCTAGTCATTAATTTAGATTGATCAATTTTTTTTATTAAACAATTTAATTTAGTGTTACTCATGGAGTATTGTGGATGAAGTTGATAATTCAGATTCAAGGTCAATTGTAAGGAGCAACATAACTACTTAATGAGCCTGTTGGTGAAATTGGTTGAATCTTGCATGCCTTGATATTAAATTTGCATTATGTGGTACTCTGTAAACCGGTATTCCTTGAATGATATCTATTTCTGGTTGGTGAATTTGCTTCTGAGAAGTTTTAGGAGTCAAATTAGGTGTATATTATGCCACACATTTGGGAAACAAAGCAATCCTGCTATTCCTGCACACTGTTTGATGGCTTCATTTTTCAGATTTAGGAAGGAGACTGCTTTTTATTAATTAAGACTTCTGATTCCTCTTTTCAGTTTCCCTTCATTACCCCATTTTTCTTTATTAGGTTTTTTATCTTGTATAACATATCTAATGAAATGTATGTTTAATTTGGAGTTGCAGTCATTTGTTAAATTAGCACTAAGTATTTGCTCATTTGACAAATGAGCAACTAACTATTTGCTCATTTGCTAAATGAGCAAAAAATTGATTGTCCATTTTCCCAAATTTAATGATCAAAGAAATGTTTGCTTATATTACAAATGAGTAACTAATTATTTGCTTATTTTCTTCACAAAAAAAAAAAAATTTACTTATTTGACAAATGAGCAAACAAATGGTTGCTCATTTCACAAATGAGCAAAAAAATGCTTGTTGATTAAAGAATTGTTTGCTCATTTGACAAATGAGCAACTAAGTTTTTGCTCATTTGTTAAATTAGCAAAGTATTTGCTCATTTGACAAATGAGCA